AAGTGCATAATGAATTGAATTCGATAAAGGAATTTTCCAACTATGACAAGAAAAAAAAAAAAAAGAAAAATCCATAGATGAAAAAGATTATTTAACTGACTCATCACATATTTTTAAAATATAATCATTGAGTGGAACGTTCTTAGAGAGATCAAAAGTAAAAAAATAAGCAGAAAATAGAAATATTTTTTTTAAATATATAATAAAATACAAACAGGATCAAGTTCGATAAGTTTCGGATGACGAGGACTGGTCGAAGATGATACATCAATTGATAAAGAATTTTTCCAATGTACACCAATTTTTATTTTATTGTTCGATGCTCTTGCCATTAGTTTTTCTTCTCTCTACTTTTAATAAAATGATTGATTGTTACAAATTCTAATAGTTTGATGTGATAACGAAGAAATTTAATAAGACAAGAGTACGTACGAATAGAACGAGTGTCTACGATCTATTGATTGATATTTTATTTTTTTTTTAATGTCCAATCATCGGACATTACCGGTAGTTGTCGTTAATACCATGTGATACAAAAAAAATCTTCAAAAATATTGAATGGATTCTAATCTTTGTTGTTTGAAAAAATAAATTCAAAACATAAAAAAAGAAAGATTTATTTAACGATACATCATTTCCTAAACGACATACTCAATATTTTAACGTCATTGTGTTACAAAATATTATATTATCGATAAATACAAATTGTACGAACAATTATAAATAAATAAATCATTATTGATTTGTGACTTTTGATAATAGAATAATGATACTCAAAATAATTATAAACTGTAACAGATTTTTTTAAAAACAATGTCATAATCTTCAAATTTTAATGCTAATGACATAAAATTGTCGGTACTATGAAAACTAAATTTTTTCTTAGAAAAGAAACTAGCATTTGAATCAAGTACCGAAACAAAGCTTTAGATCGTGTAGTAGATACTAGTAAAAGATGCTACCACACGAAGATCATGTTTTTGTTATCGAAGAAATTCGAAGATGTTTTTTATTCCTCACTCAATATATCACCAAAAGAACTAATTAAAATCTTTTCTATCGTGCAAACTGTGTTGATTTTTTTTCAAGAAAATATCTGTTAGATAACGAACATCATAGACTATACCCTATTTACGCTCTGGAATTATTTTGATTTTCTCATCACCTGAGGTCCGTACGAATCCTAAGTGGTCAACAAGTGGTAGTCCGAAATGTGGGAGTTTCAGGGTTAATATGCGTTATTATTACAGGACAAGCGTTTGTTTTCTATCCAATAAACATTTTCAACATTATTCTAAGTATTTATCATGATGTATTATTTATTCGCTGATTAATTGTCATTTAATACTTGTTAAGCAGCTTTTATACACTAGTATTCATATAATAATATAAGCAGTCTCAATCAATTGCCTTGAAGTGTTAGTTGATGGTTCATTACTATCTGATATTATTAATATCTCATTAAGAAATAAAATTAGAAAAGTAAACGAAAAAGAGTTTTATCTATCTACATTCATCACTAAGAATTGGTTTCGGCATTAAACTCATTGATTGCAATGAATGTCATACAAAGTTGAATGATGTTTCATTCAGATATGTTTTTTGATCTTGAACGATAAGCTAAACCATATATAAATCTATCCTCAACTTCTTTTCACATCATATAATTGTTGTATGATTATTTTGCATTTGATTAAGTACATGAAGACTGTTTTCATGATTATTCCATAATATTATTTAAACACAAAGTATTACCTCATCATGTTTAATAATATAGTTTCGCATACATGGGTTTTCATATTCAGTTTACATTCATGTCTTGGTATTTAATTTTCAAAATCAACAGATTTAAATCAAATTTTATCATCAATGATTGGATCAATATTTACGACGAAGATAGTCTTTATTTTCTATTAAGCTTGGTTCATCAGTCATATCAAATACTGACATATAGCGTTATTCGTCAAATCAATTGTATAAAAAAAAAAAAGTAATTGAAAGCAGTAAAGATTTCATTTGTTGTTTGATAGAGATTATGTTTGAATGTTTCCTGTCATTCTTGCTTGATTGAAGCATCAAAAATTGATAACTTCTGTCGCTATAAACTCAAGAAACAAAAGTCAAACAGGACTCGTTCAATTGTGAAAATGAAATCTCATGATCGTATTGATAGTATCTGTTTTCTAAAGCTGTACCTTCGATTTATCCATCAATCAACTTTGAAAGCTTCGTACGACATTTTGCAGTGAAGTGAAACTCGAATGCTATTGATTTGCTTTCTTGTTTCTGTCATTTGATCATTACAGAACTTTTTTTACTAACATTATATACCTATCACCCAAAAAATACAGTTGAAAAGGGAAAATTTCACTAAGTCACTTGGTATGTATTTACATTTCATTAAAAAGATCATGTATATTTAGACATATGATTATTATCTACATTTCTATTTTTATTTCACTTTCGTTTTTTTTTTGTGGTTTTTGTTATTGACACAATCACTTAAATGACATTTAATAAACAACTTAATTTATTTCAAGGCAAGAATAAAAAATAACGAGCCACAAACAGAACATAAGACAGACTAAATCATGTGATCATATCACTTCCCTGATGTTAATTCCTCGGCTACTGCTGGTATACGATTCATTGTTACATTTGTTTCTTCACTATTTGAACGTTGACATAATTCTTCAAGTAATGAAATAACACGATTAGTTTTTTTTTCAAGTTCACCTATTTTTATTTCTAATCGTTGTACTTTTGCATTTAATGTAAATTGTTCACGATCTTTATCAGACACAATACTTGGATATAATTTTGGTAAACCTAATGTTTGATCTAAACGTCGTTGTATATCAGCAAGTGCATACATCACTTTAACATTTCCTCGTGCATTTTCATCCATAATATCCTTGAAATCATATGGTTTATGAGCTTCACGAAATTTTCTTCTAGCTACATGATATTTAATAGTACGTATCATTCGTATAGCAACTAGTTGATTACTATCAAGATCTTCAATTCCATTAACTTTACGCCATGAAATTTTATCTAATGATATACCACTAGATGAAGTACGCAATACATTTGGTCCAGTACGCATACGTGGTGTACTATTTTCACTATTCGACATAGTCATCGTAAATGCAGAAGCAGTATGACGACCGAATTTATTCGTCCGTTTTATTTCAATACGATAAATACTCCATGTGGCTTTTGTATTTGGATGACGAGCAGCAACTAAACGCCACCAATTTTGAATTAGATTAGCAGCAGCAGGAATTAAACGATTAAATTGTTTTTCACGTTTTTTTTGTTCGACTTTTAAAGCAAAACCTGAACCAATAATACCAGATGGTAATGTCCAAAAGGCTACACCACAAAAACATAAACAAGATGTTATCATTTTGCCAATATATGTACCAGGATATTTATCACCATATCCAATTGTTGTCTATAAAGTTAGATAATAATAATAATAATAATAATAAAACACAAAAGAAGATTTTCTTTTTTTGACTTACCATTGTCACAATAGCCCACCAAAGTGTATCAGCAAAACTATGAAACATATCTTCATTAGGTGGTTTACTTGCATCGTTTTCAACTAACCATATTAAATAAGCGACAACAATTAAAAAAATAAAACAAAAATAAAGTGTAGCAACTAATTCATAACGATGATCATATACAACAGAACCAAGTAAACGCCATGATGTAAGACGTCGATCAACATGAAGAAATCGAAGTATTTGTAATATTCTAACATATCTTATAAGTTGTACATTAAATTGTGTATTATTTAAACCCATACATAATAATATAGCATAACTAATAATAACACATAAATCAATAATACACATTGGTTTACGCATAAATAATAAACGACCATGATGACCACGATATTTACTTCGACAACCAGATGACCATACACGAACAATATATTCAATAAGAAATAAAATAAAAAGTATAAATTCCATCCAAAATAATATCGCAGAGGATTGTTGAACATAAACTGTTAATATTGAACTGTAAACAAGACAACCAATAACAACACTAAATACAGTAAAATGATATAAAAAACAATATATACCACATGGTCGCTCAAGAAAATTATAAATATGTGATTGAAATGGATGGTAAAAATGTTTCAATAATTTATAATGGCTTGATGATGAATTAAAATCACTATCTTCATCATAACTATTTGTTCGAATTGATATTCGTCTTGATGGTCGATGCACGACTGTTGGTGCAGATAAATAATATTCATTAGTTGGTACAGGCACAAATCGATGTAATGGATTGCTCATAATTAGTTTATTGTATCATATTACTGTATAAAAGAATAAATAAAATATTATAAAACGATACGCTTATATATGTCTTGAACATAGAAAATTAACATCTAATATTATTTATCTTTTTTCAGTTCTAATATGTTATCTAATTATTAAATTTAATAATTTTAAAAAGAGAATTTTTTTTTAAACGTTGATGAACAGCTGATGAGATAGTTTTTTCATATTCTCTAGCTTATATTATTATACCTGGTTAGACTGAGGATCATGATGATTTGTTATTCTTCTCGCATAATACTATTTTCGAAAGACGATGTTATTGTATCTGTAAAATATATACAATATATGTGCCACACCACTGGAAGTTTTCACTGTTGAATTATGAATAGTTTCTTTCGTTCGTCTTTTGCTTTCTTTTTTTTTTACAATATTTCGATTGAGAATAGCCTTTATTACTTTATAAAAGTAACCGATCTGCATTTTCGTTTTTTACCATTCACATTTTTAAGGAATGAGAAACGGCAAAGTCTATTATGTTTATTTCTTCATCATTGTTTCCCTTGTTTGAGAGACAATCAGTAAGAAAAGAACTCGACAACAATGAAAAAAAAGGAAAAAGAATAATGTCTCTATGTAAACAAAAAAAAACTTAAAAATTAATTCTCATTGTGTTGCCTGAATTGAAAAAAAAAATATTCATGTAAAATCTTGTTTTCGCATTTGTCCTAGAAAAAAAAGCAAAATGAAATGAGAGAATAAAATAGAAAAAGTGATGTGACGAGTTTCTTTTTTTTTAAAATAACTATTTTCTGTTTCTTATGAATTTTCACTTTATTGATAAATTCTTTTACAAAGGATTATTTTTTATATAATATGACATACAACAATCTCATAAAAGGGTTGTAGATCCACGTTTTTAATGACCTGAACCGATCGAGGTTCAGATTCAAGGTTTTTTTGGTCAATATCTGGCATCCTTTGTGTACATGAACAACTGAAAGATTAGGATTTTAGCTATTTATTGTCTACTCTCAGGAAAAAGTCAACGTCGAGTTATTTTTCGTTGTGGTTTAGTTTCCCATTACTCGATACTTAAGAGAGCAAAAGTTTTCGCTTAGCTGAAAACAGCATTATGTTAACAACAAAAGAAATTGAATAGTTAATTCATAAAGAAAATTTATCAAACCAACAGTCATATCATAATCTTCAGCTGTATGGAATAGTTTCAATTGTATATCTATAAACAAGATCAAACAATCAAGGAGGTGTGGATTCTACATTTTTGTAGACTCGAACTCAATTTTGAACGGGCTCACAGCTCTTTAAATCTCCTACCTTTTTCTTCGATATTCATTTGATGCATTTATTTATCCTTCTATATATTTCCATAATTTCAAACAAAATAATGCCCCAATATCTCTTTCTTATAACAAAAACAATAGGCTGTACAGTAAAAAAAAAAAACAGAACACACATAAGAATAGCGAGAAAAAAACGAATTATCATAAAAAGTAAAATAAAAAATAAAAAATACGAATGATTATTAATAACATTTATTTCCTATAAATAAAAGAAAAGAATATAAAAAATTGAACTTATTATTATTTTACTTACATTTATGTACTTGTGAAAGTATTCGTTGTCGAGCATTAGCAAATGCTAAAATATCATCATCAGTTTTTTTGTCACCCGTTAACGGCAAATTCAACCTAATCAAGACATATGTATATGCCATTTTATATTAATATTTTTACGTACTGTTGGGGTGTTTTAGGAGCACTGTTCGATGCAGATGAATAATCTGATTGAAACTAGAAAATTTCAATTTCATTATGATTAAAATTTAAAAATAACAAGAGAAAATTCTTACTGATCCTGTTGTTTGTCTTGATAGATTGCCATTAGTTTTTGATGGTTTCATTTCTAATAATTGACGTTGTTGTTCCTATAGTAAGAAAGAAAAAAAAAAAAAGAAATACTTTTCAAGGCATGATTTATTTTTTCATACTGCTTGTTCAGATTGTTTTTCCCACCAATCATCAAAATCTTTTAACATTTGTAATCGATCTTTCTCAATAACATGTTGTATATGTTCAATTTCTTGTTTCATATTTTTTAAACGATTAAAACATTCACGATATCTATGAATTAAAATAATCATTATTCAAACAAAAAAAATAAAAATCTCAAATAAAATTTTCTTTACTTTATTTGTTCTTGTTCCATCGTTGTGCGTAATTCATTTAGTCCTCGATGGTTTTCTATTTCATCTTGTGTTAATTGTGCAGCAAGACGTAAATGCATTTGTTCATATTGTCCTTTCATATGATCTATAAAATTAAATTTATAAAAATACTATTTATTAAAAAAAAACTAAAGATAGATTTATTATTACTAATTCGATTTCGACATTGATTTATTTCTTCTCCAAGTGTTTTAGCTTCTGTATAACGTTGTTTTAATATACGTTTATGTTCTTCAAGTTTTTGATTAAGAGGATTATCTCGTCGAAAATGATCGAATGCTTCTTGACGACCAGCAGACATATTTTTCACTGAAATTAATAATCAGAGATATGATGAAAATGATCTCTTTACAATAAACTTAAATATTTATATTTATTCTCATAAAAAAAACAATCTTCAGTTATGATTTCTTTTAATTTAGTTTGTAATTAGATCTTAATCAATTGGTCGTAAACGTGTAAAATATTTCATTCAAAACAAATGAATGAATAATTTAATGTAGAAAGATGAGTCTAGGAAAATTTGTCGATACAAATAATAATCAATTGATTTATAGTAATACCAAAAATCTTTTTGAAAAAAAGATCATATCAGCACAAACGAGTAAGCTAAATCGATGCCAAAAATAAGATATAAGATGCTATTAGAAAATTGCAAGTCACAATAAAGAAGCACGTGTTTCTCTGATATATGCAAGACATGAACTAGAACTTGTCTTTAAAATTAAAATTGCTAGATCCACAGTTTATCATGAAATTACATCCAAATTAATTCTGATGGAAAAATGGAACCAAGAAAAAAACCATTTTAAATATAGTATAGATTTACGTCATTAGATTACGCAATCAAGCCCAACATCCTAAATAATGTCCTACATAGGTACGGTTTTTCGTATTTGAGCTCAGCCATCTTATGCTCGATATTTGACTGGATCTAAATCGAAGTTAATCGACATTGGACAGTTACTTTCACAGTCATCATACGGTTTTTAAACTCTTGCTTTATATGAAAAACTATACTGTTTAGCTTCTTCTATAAACAACGACAGAAAAAAAGAAATAATTTCAAAATTCAACAACAAGGCAAGTGATTCAGTATTCACTCAGTATCTTTCTGCTTCTAAAATTTGATCAATTTGGCTAATTATACGTTTGCTTGTTGATGATGAAGCTAGAATAGAACGTAGTGTCGAGGCTGAATTTCATAGATATAGATAGATAAGTAAATGCTGTTCCATCACGATAGTACATATTCATCTCGTCGATAATTCATTTTCTTTTTCATGTATTCAATCACTTCCTTATATAGTTCTTCATCATTTGTAGATGAATTTTCATTACAAACGAATTCTCTTTATAAAACAATATCACTATTCACTTCTATGACCTATTCTCAAGTATAATAAACTGTTCGATCATAATCGAACCAGTTGTACCGAGATCTTATCATTCTCATACTTTGTGTTCTTTCTCTAACTAGATAAAAAGAAAGAAAGTCATCTTGTCTATAAATTTCATGTTGTACAACAATTCAAATTATCTTTCTTCTATTGCCTCAATTTTTTAACTTTCTTTGACTTACGTTGATGTGCAACACGATCAGTTGACGAAAAAGAATTTTCACTTGGTGGTGTCATACTAAAATTTAAAGGTGATTTAATTCTAAACAAAAAGAATTTAAATTACCTTTCACTGAATGGTCGATATTCAGTTTTCTTTTCTTTTTTTAACATATTCACAAGTATACTTATTTCATTATCTCGTAATTTAATAATTTCTTTTAATTCTTTAACTTCTTTACTATCATATGGTGATATATCATGTGTTATATAAATTGGTTGACTATTTTTTGTTGATTGTGTTGATGCTGTTTTAGCTTGTTCTTGTAATTCAAGATATAATTTCTATTTAGACAAAATAAGATTATTTTTTTGTATGCATTAAAATAAAAACTTTCCTACTTTAAATGCTCGATAACATTGATCAATTTTACGCATATCAGCACCAACATTTAATGTTGCTTCATTATCTGTATCAGCTAAATAAACTTTAACTTGTTCAATTAATCTAAATGTAAAATACGAAAATAATAAATTTGAATTTTCTTTTTTCTGTCTTTAATACTTACTTAGCTATCATTTCAGGTGTTAATGGTTCATTAAATTGTTCACTACCATTTTGCATTAAAATTTGATTACGTAATTGTAGATTTTCAGCTCGTAATTGATTAATTAATAAACGTGGATCTAATTCTTCATTAAGTATAGCATCATTTTTAATTAATGCAACACGTTGAGAAAATCGACAAGTTGATATTGTTTCCTTAAATACAAAATAAATAAAAAAAAATAAGAAAATCTTACATAGAAACTTCTTACTTCAATATTTCGTTTATCAACTGCACATGTTGCAATCATTGTTGTCATACAATTTCCACCAAGACTATCACGTAATACAGATGTCATCATAGAATTTCGATATGGTATATGTGAACGATTTTTTTCTGATAATGCAACAATAACTTGTTCAAGATAATGTAAAGATAAATTAATATATTTTGCTTCAGTTAATAATAAACCATTTACATTTGATTTTGATACACGTTCAGAACTAAATAATAACAAAAATGTTTTGTTTTTGTTTTTTTATTAGAAAAAAAACAAAAGTAAAATAGTAACAAATCTCAAATTGGTAATAATTTGAACATTTGATGTATAAAAATTATTATAAATTTCAATTCTTCAAAATTTCTATAAATTAGAAAAAATTTGACGAATTTAAACTAATATCAATATAATTATCTATCTTTATGAACACTTTCATTCTAAAAATAGCTAAGAGATTCAATTCAGAGAATGCTACTATCGATGAAATAACATTTTTCGTTTTTTTTTCTGATCTCTGCTTTTCTGATGACCTTTGTCTTATGTAGCATCGCGGCAATATTCCTCCGAGAACCTGGTTGACTCTTTCAGGATTTTAAATGGCCGTTTCAGAAGAGAATATCAAGATACAATACTACTAATGACGATTCTCAATTATTTATACAAGTAAATCACTGATTTCTGTGTTTCTGTTATTTGTCATAGGTTGTTATTGTTGTCAAAAATCAGTAACCAGATATTTAGTGAAAGTTAGTGACAATTTGAGATTTGCCAGAATTACAAAAATTACAAACCCAGCTAAATCGACAAGATGTAATTTTGCTTTACGTACAGTTGCTGAACCAATTTCTTTACTGGTTATATGTATTGTAAATATACAATGAGAACGTGTTGATGCTTGATTCATTGGTGTCTAAGAATAAAAAAATAATCAAATTAATATATAAATATTAGTTGTTGTTTTTTCTAATATATGTGTTACTTCAGCAATCATTCGATTTGTATCACCAAGAAATAATAAATTAAGTGCTTCTTCTTCATTTTGTGCAGCATGAATTGATAAATTTTTTAAATGCATATTTTGATCTTCATCTTCCATTAAAAGTACTTTTCTAGAAAACAGAAAAAAAGATAATTTTGTTTGTTTAGTTTTCTTATTAAATTTATTAAGAAAAATCATTACGGTAAATCTTCAAGTTTAGCTGCTTCATGTTTTGGATCAAGAAGGTCATAACCATTTTCATTATAAATTTCCAAATAAGACACATGAACTGTATGACTTTGATCCGAATGCTTAAGAATAAAAATTTATTAATATGAATGAACAGTTTTATCATATTTACTTGTCCAAACTGTTCAAAAATATATGAAAGTGAACGTGGAATAATACCACGATCAGTGAAACGTTCAGGTCCACCAGTTATTGTAAATGTTTTACCTGATCCTGTCTACAAATTAAATAACAAAAATGATTTAATATCAATTCATAGCCTTTTTAATATTCGATTCAAGAACAAAATTTACCTGTCCGTAAGCAAATATGGTACCATTGTATCCAGCAATAACACTATATAACAAAATTTCTAAAATCTTCTGTTCTAAAATATTAATAATTAGAGGCGTAACTAGAGTCCTGCGCTACACCCCTGAATCCCGTTTGTTCCGAAGTTTTCTTAATCCTTATATAAAAACGTGTAGTACAGTTTAATTTTCTTATTTCTAACAAATACTTTAATATTCAAATAAACAATAGAAAAAAGAACAAACAAAGAACTAGACTGCTACTCAAGCAAAGCTCAAGTAGTAAAGATGAGTGACTGAATGGCTTCGAAAAATTTTAGAGTACGAGCCTATATAACATCTGATATTTCTAAATATTAGACATTCATAGAGGAAATTATAATGAATTTCAATTGCGTTCTCCTATCCTTATTCCACTAACCAATTAAGAAATAATGAATATGAATCAATTATTCTCATGTAAGAAAAGTTGTGCATACAGCATCTGAAAGATCAATGGCTTGTTTCAATTTGACTTATCAATGGCCATATAAAGAAATTCTCATCTGTTAATTATCATTTTCCACATCTTTATAGTCTCCAAACAGAATTGAGTTTTTGAAGAATGGACTTTAGATGTATCCGTCAGTTTCAACAGAAAAATTCGAAAAATAATCGGGACATGAAAAAGTTTGTTCCGCAGGACTCTAGGCGGGGAGGACGCAGTGTAGACGATTTTCAGAAGCAGGACAGAAGAAAGCATTACGCCTCTGATTAATAGTCTTACTTATCAATAACTGGTCGAGCAACTAATGAAAAAATATCATCTTGTTTTGAATTTTGATCAAATATATGACGAAATCTGTAAGATAAAAATCATAATAAATATTTTGTTTTCTTTTAGTTCTATTTAACTAACCGAAAACGAAAATCTTCTCGTTTATTATTTATATAACCATCTGTTGCATCTTTTGGAATAATAATTGATAAATTAGCTCCATCTTCAACTGGATTTATTTCATAAACCTATAAATAATATTCATTTTTTGTTTTCTTAATAAGGAATAAAATTCTCAATACTGATGTTTTTGATTTTGTTGGTTTTACTCGACAAAATATTTGAATTGTTTGTTTTACCATTTTGTTCGTTCAATATATTTCAATCCTTAAAAAATTTAACGATTGATCAAGCATTTTTTTTTTCTTTCTTTCTCTATGAAATACTATGACAACCATCATCTCCTCTCCTCCATATTTATTGAAATGATGTCGCTGATAGCTGAAGAATTATATCTTTTTTTTGTGGAATCTTATTATTATGTTTGTTTAATGTTATTCGGATGAAACAACAACACTACAAACATCATAGTAAAAAGACTGATGAATGTAGAAAACAACAAAAAAAACAAAAAAAACACACTGAAATTTTTTTTTATGTCAGTTTGTTTATTCATTCGTCATCGTCGTCATTAAATTTGATCTTTTTGTTAGTTTTTTCACCAGAACTTTGACCGTTTTCATCATGAAAACCAAAACTACGTTTAGCACCACCACCACGAGCTCCGCCACGACTTCCACCGCGACCACCGGTACCAAATGATGGTCGACCTTTTTTAGGTTCTGGGCATTCAAATGATCTATGACCATCTTGACCACAATTGAAACAAGCATCTAAATATAAATTGTAGCTTTATGTTTTTTCGATAATCAAAAACAAAAAAAAACATACTAGATTTTTCTCCACCACCTGAACGACCACCAGCTTTTTTTGGGTCTGGACATTCAAATGATTTATGACCATCTTTACCACAATTGAAACATGCAT